TTTAGATCTTCATATAATATATATATATATATATATATATATATATAAATACATATATACTGTATGTTGACGATGCATCATTAACGTTAAAGATTATTTTTTTAATTAACCTGCATTATCAAATTTTGAATATTATTGAAAAACGTTTAGTAATAATATAATTATATTGGAATTATAAATTACCATATCGCAAGTGAAGTTGAAAAGAAAAGACCAAGAACACTATCTGGTGTATATATTATAGGTAGGCCTATGGATTGTTTGGGTTTAAGACCAAAGAATAGCGAAAGGTGTGAACATTCAGTTAAGCCAAGTAGTACATCAAATATTCGTGAAATATGAGCACTCTCATTTAACATTCAATGAACAGACGGACATTGCACTAAATTAATCAAACAAAATACTTAAGGAACCACATCATAACTAAAATCTAAACCTACTCTTTAATATTTCTTCATATCACATATCAAGTAAAGTCGTTTGATGTAAAGCCATTGTTAATTAAATTGGAAGTGTAACAAGGGTTTATAATGAACATAATGAACATTGTATACAGGGTAGCCTGTCGTAATAAATGATTTTGATATAATTGTTTTCTTTGAAAGCCTTTTTACAAATACCTGCAAATAATGTCTTGAAGGCAAGAAAATTTCGCTTTAATATCCTAGGGTAGAGATTAGAACGCCTCAAAATCATACGGCAGAGTTTCTTTCCTTGTGTTATTGACTTCAAAGGACGCTTATAAGTCAAATAGTACGTTAGACCTAACTGATATTTAATGTAATGTTCAATCGGCTATTTTCATTTATAGTTTATGATATAGGTAGATACAGCTTTATCATTGTAATATCATACACATACTTTTGTGATTATGTTTTTGTTATGAATAGGCAGTATGCGTATATACTTTAGTTTTGTTATATGAACTGGCCCTATATTCACTGAAATAAAGGATAGGCGTGTTTTAAAACGTTTTTCATCAGATCAGGACATTTTGATAGACATTGGCTCTTATTACGTTAAAGACTGTAACAAATAAAAAAAATTGAAACAAAAACAGTCTGCAACGTATAATCCCATGAGTGTGGTAAGTTTGATATCTTTTAGAAGTATTAAATATCCTTCGAGGCGTGGGCAAATTATTTACTTTGTGAATTTGTTGTTTACCAAAATGGTGCGTATCGTTTCGGTCGATTAACTAGCCATATTAGCAACAAAATTGAATAATTACACCGTCAAATTACAAAACATACAACTACTTTGCGTTCACTTGTAAGTACGGAGGTTCTCATCCGAGGCAACGGTGTTTTTTGAATTTACACGTGTTTTACAGAGTTTTATTAACCAGGCGAACATTTTATGGCGTTGTGAAATTTCTTTCAAAAGTTAGTTACACGACGGAAGTTAAGTGCGTTTAAGTAGAGGCGGCCCAAAGACAGATGTATGTAGCTTAGTGTGTAATTGAAAAGGGTGTTTTTGTCTGAAATTCAGATATTGAAATCTCAAAACAACCGACATCGATCTGGCGTGGTGTCAGCACCAGACCAGTCGGTACAATCAAAATAAAATATATGACATTGTTATTTAATTATCATCTCTTTGTAGAAGAGTGAATCAAATGAATATTTGTCTTTGTTATAAAGCTGTGTTTGTCGGCCCAAATAAATAAGTG